TCATTGGCATGATAATTGTAATCAAATCGAATTGTGAAACCAGTGAAGATTCATACCCCTAATAAAAATTTACATTTTCAGCTGATTCACATTGTACAATTTCATCTGAAATCAACATATTAACATTTTTCTGTGAAATCTGGTTGGCCATAATTTATTTTTGTTATTTACTTACTCTTATGACATACCAAGCTTGTATGGCTTTCTTTGTTTTTTGCACTGGTTGCTGTTTTCAATGCAATTATAATGAATGTGGACTGGAACTTTTAAGCTTTAAAATGGATTATAAAGTATCAGAAATGTCCCATATGATATGTCATATTAAAAAAAAAAAAACACTAAAGGCCTTTCCACACTGAGCGCAATGCGAAAAAAGCGAGGCGTATCGCCGACGAACGGTGCTTTCACACAGAGCACGAAACGATTGTTCGCCTTCTGCTAATTCACGTCTGCACGCTAGGTGGCGCTGAACAACAATGCATTTTTCCTCAAATATGTATCTCGTATATGGATTTAACATCTAAATTAAGATAAAGTTTGGCTCTACGCCAGAAACACAAACTATCTATAATGCTTACAAGAATAGGCTACATCCTAAAATATAATTAGAAGTACAATTATCATCAAGCAACACTTGAAAATTTATTTACTTACCCACTTTAAACCATCATCGAGTGCTTGTAATAACTTCCGATTGTGATCTATAGTTGATTTTGATTCTATAATAAGCAGACACATGCACTCTTTGTATGTTTAATAACGCTACACTGCTAATATTTGTCATAAACATCCTTTATTGCTATAAAAATACCATGAGCTGCATACAAAACACATACAGAAAATATATCATCATAATCATGTCTATTTGCTTTCATATTTCATGTGTAGAAAAAGAGTGAACGCGCTCTGACTCAACACTCGCACACGAGGAAGAAAACGGACAGTGCTCTACAGATCACATAATTCAGTGGAGAATTAATAGAAATGTTATTCTGTATAAAGAACGTGAGAATAAATCTGTTCTCAAATACCAACGATAACAAGAACTCAGCATCCACTCTCTTCTCTTATCCGGGATACTCTTCTACGGTGTTTGTGTTCACTGGTTTTCGAAACAGCGCTACCATTCTCACGCTTTTGTGCAACAGCAGCTGCTCTGGTCACATGATCCTAGCTCAAATCTTATTGGAAGGCACGTGTTTTCGCTTTACGAAACTGAAAAGATTTGTCGGACTGGTGCGAAAAAAAAACATTCGCATTTTTGGTTGCGAATGTTCACGGTCTACAGGTGCATCTCAATAAATTAGAATGTCGTGGAAAAGTTCATTTATTTCAGTAATTCAACTCAAATTGTGAAACTCGTGCCATGACATTCTAATTTATTGAGATGCACCTGTATGTGGAAGCATCCATAGAAATGTATTTATTCCAGTGCGTCATCGCATCCGATATTCGTTTCGCTTTTTCGCGCTCAGTGTGGAAAGGCCTTAAGGTTGTGTGAGGAACATATGGAAGTCATTGTTCACTGATCATTTTCTCCTCCATATTATTTGTTGTGATTCATTGAGAGAGCTGAACTGACCATATCAGTCAGATTTGTGAACGAATCATTCACATTTTGTGAACTGGATTAACCAATTCATTAAAGAGATCTGACTTGAAAAACAATCAATTCACAATTTAGACATTGCTGCTTCCTGGAATAAAACATCAGAGGACGGATATCAAGATTTTCAGTTAATAATTGCCTAAATGGGTCTGTTCCAGAACAGTCCTATAAAATGAACCTTTTATGTTTCACTGAGGAAAGAAAGTCGTTTGGGTTTGTAACAGCATGAGGATGAGTAAATGTTGGGTGAACTATCCCTTTAATTAAAGCCGTAATAAGTGATCTCATGCACTTTAACTGGTGGCTGTGAAAATGTGAAATCTTTATATTCTACATTTTCTCATTTTTTTTTCTCTCTCTGTCTCTCTCTCTCCTCTCTCAGAACCCTGAGATTATGTGTGGGAGAGGGATGATAAGCCATTTAAAGACATCACAAGAGCACTCTCTCTCTTTCGCCCCTTTGCCTTTTTAACACACACACACACACACACACACACACACACACACAAAATAAAGTCTATTAACCTCTCAAATGCTACTGTTCCTGATGGGATTTAGGCCTTCCAGTGTCTGAATTTGGCATGCAATTCATCATCAGTAGAATGTTATTGTAAGATAATTACGGATGAAGAGGAAGGGTTTGCACACACTTAAGTTTACATTAATTATTTGAAAAAAGACGGGAAGCAGGGAATATAGGTGTTATTTGATTAGATATAACAAGTCTTAGAGGGAATTCCAAGAATACCATATAGCTGCAGGGAGTAATTTAGAGGTCTGCGTTAAAGTGACAGAAGCAGTGCATCATGGGGGAGTCATGTGACACGACTGTGAAATGAATTATTAACCTGAAATGATGTTAAGGTGCTTTATCAGCTGGAGACTTCAAATAAAACCGTAAACAGTGGTGATTATGGGTGGTTGACATGTATATGCAGTACTTGTGTTTTGAGAAATGTATTTTTCACACTGTATTCATTTATATTAACTGCAAAAAGCTAAACGTTTGTTAAAAATGGTGAAAAACAGTTACAGCAATTAAAATATACCCTTTTCCTTATCCTTTAATGTATTATTTACCTAAAATCTTGAAAAATGTTCATTGTGACGAGAGGGGCGGAGCCGAGAGCCGTGGGAACGGAGCGAGGCTGGTGGAGTAAATGCTAATGCACGACACCTGCGCCACTCACCGGTCTCGAGTCCAACACTGTCGTCACTCCTCCTTTTATCCTTCCGGAGCTCCTCCGTGGGACTCGAGACCGGTGAGTGGCGCAGGTGTCGTGCATTAGCATTTACTCCACCGGCCTTGCTCCGTTCCCACGGCTCTCGGCCCCGCCCCTCTCGTCACATTCATGTTCCTTGTTAACCATCCATATATATTTGCCTTTGAATCCAGTTACCAAACTCTGTGCCTCTTTATTAATGAATATATCAGTCAAATTTGGGTTCAATAGACTTGCGCATAGCATTCAGATATCTAGTTCGCCTCTCTGATAGTGCTCATCATTTGTTCTTACACTTTAAAGGGAGATGATACACTAAATCATTACTGCATATCTTTTTTTTTCCTGACCTCTTTGTTAACGAGTTTAATTAATTTTCTTAAAATGTTACACACCCAGAGTTCTTTTTAATAATCGTGGGTGTCCTACATTACTCAAACTTTTAAGAAACACCCATTCAAGGAGAGAGGACAAAGCAATCAGTGTGTGCTTATTCTCCGATGGAAATGGTTTGGATGCCCTCTGAAAACAGGCTTCTATAACCTCTCAGGTGGGAGAATTGTGTGGACGTTGTGCACAGACAGCAAACATGAACACAGAATGCAGGTGATTGAGTGGCTTCGTGGGAAGGCAGAGAAATCAGATAAAATATGAAGAAGTCATACTTTAATATGATTTTACCAAGAAAGAAATGCTTAAAGATTGTATCTCTCTTAGCTTTGTATCACACATATACATATATATGGAGAAAGTAAGAAAGCAAAAATGTCTGAATTCCAGAGAAATTTAATTTTGCGTACTTTACACATTATTGCTGGAACTTTGTACATAAAGCAAGTACATGGAGAGCAGAAAGTTATTATAAATACATATATTTGGGGGCCATTTGCCATTTCTATTATGAAAAATTATGTATTGCTCTGATTAGTATATTCAGATATGCTTTAATTATTCATACATATATTCATGAAATAATCATTTTTTATTTTACAGTGCAGTTGTATTATAATAATGCAGATTATGATGATGATTATTGTTAATATTATTATTACTATATAATCCCCATCAGAGCTCCTCACACATGATGTGAAGAATCTGAGGCAACAGAGTTTCAGTTGATAAGAAAATGATCAAAATTAAATGAACTTGGATTCTGTTCAAATTATATGGCCTTAATGTGGTGATTCTTGAGTGTTGCTATGTGGTCAGTAAAACCAACTAGATTTGTACATTTCTGAATAAATTTTGAGTGGGTGGTTGCTATTCTTGAGTGTTTTTTAGTATGTTGCTATGTGGTTGCTAAGGTATACTGAGGGGTGTTTTAAAGCAACAAGCCTCAAGAAGCCATGGTTTACAGTGATTTTTAGAACAGCTAAGGGATGTTGTTATACCGGGCAAGATCTCATAAAATAAACACAAAGCAATAAAAATCTATTAATTTATTGGTAACAAATAACCATTTTTTCACCAAGTTCTTCAGCAATGTCTAGCAGCAACGAAGTAATACTGATGTAATAAGGTCAAAGGTTTGTTTATAGAGTATTTTACAACGTCTTCGAATGTGGCTCAGCCAATCATAATCAAGAATCGGAATTATCCATTTTACATACTATATTAAAAACCATTATATTATATATTGCTAATCGGATGGTAATGTATACTGAGTGTTTTTAGCATGTTGCTTTGGTGTTCTGGGTGTTTGCTTACTAGCCCAGATCAAAATAGCACAGCAAATCTCTATAGTATTGTTTAATGTAAGTCTATGGGGTTTTTCCAACAGTATTATCACTCAAAAACTGCCCAGTCATTTAAAAAAAATATTCTGTAAACCAGTAGGGGACTGCAATAATAATAATGTTTTCGAATAGATTTCTTAAACACACTCTTCTATTGTTCCAGTAAAGTAGTCCTGCCCCAAATTCACGCCATTGGTTGAGTCAGAAGTTAAAATGTCGGGCCGCTCAAACAAACAGAGCAGTGTTTGACAGCGTCACCGTCTTTACCCACTTCACGAAGTCAGCCTACTGGGTTTTAACATCGACAAAATTACACACTTCACCTTTAAATCTTGTGTTTGGCAGAAAAGCAAATGCAGGTCTGGACGTGGGTAGCTTGTGCTTGTATGTTGCCTGTATGACATGTGAGGTTTCTATCTGTGTCTCTGTCAGGCTGGAGAGGAAGATGACAGCTCTCAACCCAGTGCTGTTCCTGCTCTGCGGTGTCTCTGTGTCTCTGACTCTGAAGGTGGTGTCAAAGAGAGGCTCAGGTATGTCCAATTTCTGTCTGTCTCTCTCTCTCTCTCTCTCTCATTACTCTCATTACAAGGGCTTGCTCTTCGCATTAAAGTGTAACATCAAATATTATTTCACGGCGTAATGAAAGCTGCTATGCTAAACTGCTCTCACCGGCCATGTGACTGTACATATTAAAGCTTAATTTAATGCAGCATTGATTGTGAAGGTCATTCTTGTGTGCTGAGATAGTGAGTGTGTATGTGTGCTTTCCTTTACGCACAAGTAGGCAAGTACATAATCACCAAACTGCGCACACACACAAATGGGAACACATGTAAATACACACATACATTTTGCAACAGAGAACAGGTTGGGAAGAGAGCAGTGCCAGCCCATCTGTCAGAGGTGATACTCTAATGTGTGTGAGGGAGGGTGTGTGGGGGGGTGAGCGAGAAAATGTGTGTGTGTGTATGGCTGACTCGGAAAAAGAGCATAAAATGTGAGCCAAGACCACCATGTACTCCAGATAATTAGGTGCAGGGAGGTGTTATGAGTTAAACTGCAGTTTTATGTTCCTCTGGACCAAAATTTGTATTTCCTGATACCTCCGTTTTCTCCTGTAGCATAATGACAACACAAAAAAGAGTTACTCAATTACTGAAACTCAAGGTGTTCACTGAAAATGATCTAAAAATATAAACCCTATTTCAGCATTGGCTGAAGAAACAGTTATTATGTATAGTCTGATGGAAACTGGCGGGAGTCTTTTAAGGACAATTTCAGCATCTTGCCTTAAAGTCAGCATGAAATGGCATTCGCAACCCATTATACTTCCATAAGTAGCCATATTTCTGATTGAAACAGGATATTCAAGCAGAAAAAAATGTAGAATGGCAGTTGATTTTATCTGTAAGCACTTGATTGGATTGTGAAAAGTGGTCGTTATGTACCAGAATAGAGCCAGATCTGCATGGGTGTTTGCTAAAACAGTTCTTAAATTGCTATTTGGTTTTTGGTTATCCAATTCATTCCAAAATCAAGCAACAAGGAAAGTCAATTCAGAGATGAAATGATGATGAAAGATTCTTTTTTGGAATGGCATTCTTTTTGACCCATCAGAATGTTATAACTTGATCTTCTTCACTGGTGTGGACTTCCAGTCATTTAGTCCACTTAAACCTCTATCCATTTTTGCAATCGACTGCAAGCTTACATTCAGATCTGCTATTTTAAGAATCTAGCACTAGTTTATGTTGCACTGGTTGTCTTAGAATAAAATTGGTCCATAGTGGCATAGATAAGTTTTAGGTATTGATTCCATTGTTGAAATGTGCTATTCACAGTCAGCCACCATTGATTCATTGCATAAACAAAGGTTACCTGATAACAAAAGGGTTACCAAGACAATGAGGAGTATCTGGTTGGTCATGTGCTCTCAGCTTATAGTGACCACCATATGTAGAATAAAAAAGCTTTAATAAGGCAAATGATATTCAATTCAATTCAATTCAAGTTTATTTGTATAGCGCTTTTCACGCGTGTTAAATGATATCTCATGTTAGTGTCCATGATTTTAAACTGCTCACTAAAGAAGTAATATTCTTTTCTGCTGGGGTAAAACTTTTAATTTTAAGAAATGTTAAGAATGTGCAATGTTAAGAAAGTAAATAGAGCCCATTTTGATTTCATGGTGACTTTAAAAAGCATGTTTCAAAGTACAGTCATCTTATGAGAACGCACCTCAATGCAGCCTTGAAAAGACACTCGAAATCCACACGTTTGAAATCACTTAAAGCACAGCCTTACGAAGACCTTTGACCATGGGGGTGTTGAAGGCACACTACTTTAAAGGTTTTTTGAAGGCACTCTAAAATTACAGTGGTGCAGGACTGCCACCGACCGCTGTGTGATGAAAGCATGCCGGATGTAATGTCTAGTACATGTACTCAAGATGTACTCAAATTTGTACATGCTGGCTTTCCTCTTATAGGAATGTCTGAGGACAACGTCTGTTGCTTGCTGTTGATTACCAAAAATAATATTTTTGATGCACTCCTCTGTAAAAAAAAAAAGAATGGGATTTAGTTTACAGTAATACACAGACTATAGCAACCATTGCAGAGCGTTTTCTCCTTAAAAGAACAGTGTATCAAAGACAGTCTTAAAATGTGGTTTAAAACCACCCTTGTTCCCTACCATCACAAACATGTAACCAATCTTGTCAACTTGCAGGGTGGGGCTTTTCATATCATTTGCTGTCTGGGATGGCAAAAGGGAACATGGTTTGTGTAACTTTAGCAACACATTATTAGCTGTTTAATAACATAGTCAAGCCAAAGGCTAATGATATCAATTTTCTTTGTGTTGTAGAGAGCGATACATAAAATGCATTACCATTCTTATTAGGGCTGTCAGTTTAACGTGTTAACTTAATGAATTAGTTATGAAAAAATAACACAAATAAAAAATTTTAATGCAGTTAACGCACTGGCCCTGCCCCCAGACCTGTAGGTCACCTTACATTTCACATAGTTGACTGTTGACAAAAATATGATGCAGGGAAACAACTCCATAAATGCAGTTATGCCCTAAAATTCAAGATATTGGGGCAAAATTGCCCCTGTATGCGTTTTTGTCTCATATTTATATCATACCATATCACACACGAGTGCTGATTTTGTCCCGAATATCACGAGTTTAAATGTGATTTATACAACAGTTCAGTAAATAAGTTGATATTTTTAAGCACAATCATGTGTTTTTGCTAAATTTTGCAGAGAACATATTACCTTTTAAGTAGGGATGCACCGATACCACTTTTTCCAGTACTTGCCCGTTATCGATATTTTTATTGCATTTGTAAATTTTTTAAATATTGGGTACAGAAACCAAAAGGGTATGTATAATGTTAGTTGGTGCGCATCTGTGCCGCCGCGCGCTCAATCCACTCAGAGTCAGCGTGCTTTGTTTATCAGCTCGCGCACATCAGCTATACAGGCATTAATACTGAATATTTTATAGTCATTGCATGCATATACTTCGTAGACATCTTTAATCTCTAATAACTCCATTCTGCTGTCTGTTGTCGGTGTTTCTTTGTCTGAATATGGCGCTTATCACATGCTGTGTGGTATCGGCGTTTGGTATCGGGG